GAACTGCTGAACTACCGACCTTCCACAGCCTGCAGTTCAGCGTCTTAACCACTTGAGCCACCACTGTTGCGTGTCTTGACCTGGACGGCCCAGGCTAGCCCAATCTTGCCAGATCTCGGAAGCTAAGTGAGGTCAGTCATGGTTAATACTTGGATGGGAGACCACCAAGGCAATCCAGGGTTGCTACGCAGAGGGTGGGCAACGGCAAACTGTATGTCCCTTGCCTTGAAAACCCTACAGGGTTGCCATAAGTCAGCTGCGACTTGACAGCCCCGTGTTCTTTTAATTTGTTGTTTTACGATACTGCCAGGAGAGTGGATTTCCCCCACTTGATGCTGCAGTCTGCGGCAGGCTTCAGCCGCTCACTCCCTCTCAGCATGCTGGTGAGCTGGGTGATGACTAATCTTGGCGCATTAGCCAAACCCCCCCCCTGCTGTTCGGCATCCTGGGGAGGCAAGCTTCATCAATTTAGGGGCTTTTATCGAGCGAGGCAGGCTGACTTTTGTGCACGGTTAGACATGTCCCCCCCCCATGCACACACTCACATACCAGCCTTCCTCCCTGCTTGCCTTCATTTGGGGGAATGACAGGATGCAACTGAGATTGGAGTTGGCTAAACGTCTCCAGTCGTTCCTCCTTCCCGAGATACTGCAAAGCTCAAAACGGTTTGTTCTTGGCGGAGAGAGCTTAATGGCACCTTTGAAGAGAAGAGAAGAAGACAAAGAGATAGGATTTATACCCTGCCCTTCCCTCGGAGTCTCAGAGTGGCTTAAAAACTCCTTTCCCCTCCCCTCCCCTCCCCTCCCTCCCTCCCTCCCTACAACAGACACCCTTTGAGGTAGGTGGGGTTGAGAGAGCTCTTTGGAGGACTACCCTTTCAAGGACAGCTCTTGTCAGAACTATAGCTTGCCCAAGGTCACCCAGCAGCTGCAAGTGGAGGAGTGGGGAATCAAACCCGGTTCTCCCAGATTGGAGTCCGCGCACTTAACCACTACACCAAACTGGCTCTTGCTTACTGGTTGGGAAGAATTCTCATAGAGATACAGTGAAGTTAGACAGAAGGAAGGAGGAGGAGGAGGAGATTGGATTTATACCCTGCCCTTCACTCGGAGTCTCAGAGCGGCTTACAGACTCCTTTCCCTTCCCCTCCCCACAACAGACACCCTGTGAGGTAGATGGGGCTAAGAGAGCTCTCTTGAGAACTGCTCACGAGAGAACAGCTCTGACAGAACTATGGCTCGCCCAAGGACCTCCAGGCGCTGCGAGTGGTGGAGTCTAAGAGAGCTCTCTTGAGAACTGCTCACGAGAGAACAGCTCTGACAGAACTATGGCTCGCCCAAGGACATCCAGCAGCTGCAAGTGGAGGAGTGGGGGAATCAAGCCCGGTTCTCCCAGATTAGAGTCCGCGCACTTAACCACCACACCAAACAGCTGAAGTACTGATCCCAGGAGAACAAAGTGTGACTCCAGGGGCACCTTTAAGACCAACGAAGTTTAATTCTGGGTATAAGCTTTTGTGTGCATTGTGCTTACTTGGATGGGAGACCTCCTTGGAATACCAGCAGTTGGGAGGTGGGGGCAGGCTCTATTCAGCCACCTCTCTGAAAATCCTCCATGTACCCAGTAGGGGTCAGTCACCCAAGGTCATCATGACATCCAGGTGCACACCCACCCACACATGCACAGACAAAAAAGCTCATGCCCAGAATTAAACTTTGCTGGGCTTCAAGGTGATCCTGGACTCAAACTGTGCTCTGCTGCTTCAGCCCAACACTGCGACCCCACCCGAATCTGATTCCAGGAGAGTCCTTGATTCCTAGAACCTCCAAGAACGGCAGCTGAAATTTGATATGAAGCAGCACCCCGTTTTTGTAGGCAGTGCCCATTTGGTTTACCCTGCCTGCTTGTCAGCTAAGCAGCTGCCATAGCTGGTAGAGGGGAGTGGGGTGGAGGCCAATGCTCCCTCTAAGCTGTGGGGTCTTGTGAGCAGGGGTCATTTCGTAGAAAAAGAGGTGCAGGCGCTCATTAGCATAACTCATTAGCATAACTTATTTGCATATGCCACACCCCCTGACCTCACCGGAAGTGTGTCAGAAGGCAACACCCACCACTCAGGCTCCACTGGACTGTGTTGGATTGCTAGCTATTGGGGGGGGGATGTGCAGATCTGTCCTCGCAGAGGAGGGAGAGCTTGTACCTGAATAAAACTTGGTCTTAAAGGTGCCACTGGACACAGCAGCAGCCAAAGGGTTAACCCTACCCAGGGGAAAGAGGACAGCTTCAGGGTTTCAAGCAGGCCTCAGCCTGCGATTTACAGGAAAGTCCTTTAAAAGGTAAGCAAAGGGGGCAGATTTTTCTAGTGGTTACAGCCAATGCTCCCTCTAAGCTGTGGAGTCTTGTGAGCAAAAATTCTGCTTTGTGAGCTAGCCCCATTAAAATTGTGAGCGAGCTATTTGGCTACTTGCATAAATTAGTTTGCTCTGGAGCCCCATCTTTCCTGAGCGAAGACAAAAATGGGTGAGCTGGAGGCTAAGAACTGTGAGCTAGCTCACACTAACTCAGCTTAGAGGGGACACTGGTGGAGGATGGTATGTTTCCGTAATGGAATCTTAAGTTTCATTTCTTCCGGACTCGTCTTGTCTTCTAGCCTAGGCCGGTGACCTCGGGACCTCCCTGCTACTTTCTCTGAGAATGTAGACCCGTTAGGTTAGGCGGGCTTCTGCTTGTTCCCTGATGGAATACAAACAGAATAGAACTACTGCAAACTGTGCATATTTCAAACTTGTATTAAATGCAATAACAATATATCAAACGATGTTTTACAGAAAACAATGTTTATAAATGATGATGGATGGATGACGAACTCCCCCAGAGTTGATATTTGTTTTGAGGCGTCTTTTTCAAACATCAAAACTCATGCAAGTCTTCCAAATTGGATTTCTCCTTAATTCCTGTACATTTTGGTGTTATTCATAAGATGTTCTCAATCACAATATTGGGGGGGGACATGCAGATCTGTCCTCGCAGAGGAGGGAGAGCTTGTACCTGAATAAAACTTGGTCTTAAAGGTGCCACTGGACTGTTTTGGTTTGCTAGCTATGGGGGGGGGGAACGTGCAGATCTGTCCTTGCAGAGGAGAGAGAGCTTGTGCGTGAAGGTGGGCGGGGTGAGTTCGTCATCCATCCATCATCATTTATAAACATTGTTTTCTGTAAAACATAGTTTGATATATTGTTATTGCATTTAATACAAGTTTGAAATATGCACAGTTTGCAGTAGTTCTAGTCGGTTTGTATTCCTGTCATACTGCACCCCCCTCTATCTTTTTGGTTTTTTGTTCCCTGATTGACCCAGATCCATCAGAGGGACCCCTTTGAATTTAACTCCTCACTGCGCGCGCTTGCCATCCGTTCTAACACAGAATGTACGCACAGAAGACCTGCCTTTACGGTACTCAATAAACTTCACTCTTCTGAATGAAAGTTGTTGGGAACTGATTGCGGCGGGACTCTGACACCGCTGCGTCCTCTTCTCCGCATATAATTGCCCGGCCTCAGAAGCACAGTCCAGTGCTATCCGAGATGGCCTCTTGACTAGTCAGTTGCTTTCAAGAGGGTAGCTGGTCTGCTGTCCGGGGGCTCACAGGTGCATTCTGGGAGCCCTCCTGGAAGGCATTCTGGGAAATCTCCGGGAATCACCTGGAGATTTCTAACACCAAATGAGTCAGTTGACTTTGTTAGCAGAGTCATTAGCATAGCCGTGACTGTGAAACTAGCAGGCCATCGAGACTGGCTTCCTGCTACTTGGAAAGGGGGGGGGGAAGCACACTCTTCTAAAATGCAGAGGTAGGGGGTGAATAGGGAGGGGCCGTCTGCCATGGCCTGCCAACCTCCCTCCAGGAGACAGTGCATTTCGTCACAGTCCCAGCAGAGCATCGGGATCTGAACTCTACCTAACCAGTTTGGTGTGGTGGCTAAGTGAGTGGACTCTAATCTGGAAGAGCCGGGTTTGATTCCCCACTCCTCCGCTTGCAGCTGCTGGATGACCTTGGGCAAGCCATAGTTCTGTCAGAGCTGTCCTTGAAAAAGAGCCGTTTCTGTCAGAGTTCTCTCAGCCCCACCTACCTCACAGGGTGTCTGTTGTGGGGAGGGGAAGGGAAAGGAGTTTGTCAGCCCCTCTGAGACTCCTTCAGGTAGTGAAGGGTGGGGTATAAATCCAATCTCTTCTCTTCTCTTCTTCTTAACGTGTTCATTCTTCCAACCAGGTGGAGGGGAAAACATGTCTGGCCCACGCAATATCTTGGAGGGTTTCCCTGCAAACTTGAGGGCATGAATGTCCCAAACTGAGAAATTTTGGGGAAGATATAATTATTCAGATAAAGCACATAACTGGACAAAGTATACAATTTACTGTTGAACATATTGTCCTTAATAGATGGAAACCCAGCACCTGTTCAGACAGCATTAACAAAAGAGTGGCTTTTCTTTTATCAGCAGCTAAAAATGCTCTCACACCACAGTAGAAAAACACAATGGACCCAACTATACAAAACTGGCACTCAAAGCTTTGGAATATGTACATTATGGCTAAAATTAAAGAAAATCTCACTGATGCTTATTCGCAAGCAACTTCATCTAATTTAATTACAATATGGTTTCCCATTATACCGTATTTAACATGGCAAGAAGAAATACCACAGATAATTGACAAGCTACACCTTTAGTAGCTACTTATTTGAATAGTCAATAGATAATGTACTGTTATGATTAATAAGAACATAAGAGAACATAAGAGCAGCCAGTGCTGGATCAGGCCAATGGCCCATCCAGTCCAACACTCTGTCACACAGTGACCGAAAATACCAGGTGCCATCAGGAGGTCCAGCAGTGGGGCCAGGACGCTAGAAGCCCTCCCACTGTTGCCACCCCCCCCAGCACCAAGAATACAGAGCATCCCTTGCCCCAGACCGAGAGTCCCTATCTATACCTTGTGGCTAATAGCCACTGATGGACCTCTGCTCCATATAAGAACATAAGAGAAGCCAATGTTGGATCAGGCCAATGGCCCATCCAGTCCAACACTCTCTGTCACATGTTGGCCAAATATATCAGGGGCCATCAGGAGGTCCAGCAGTGGGGCCAGGACACTAGAAGCCCTCCCACAGTTGCCCCCCCAAGCACCAAGAATACAGAACATCCCTTGCCGCAGACCGAGAGTTCCTCTCTGTACCTGGTGGCTAAGAACCACTGATGGACTTCTGCTCCAGATGTTTATCCAATTCCCTCTTATAAGAACATAAGAGAAGCCAATGTTGGGTCAGGCCAGAGGCCCATCCAGTCCAACATTCTGTCCCACAGTGGCCAAAAATACCAGGTGCCCTCAGGAGGTCCACCAGTGGGGCCAGGACATTAGAAGCCCCCCCACTGTTGCCCCCCCCAAGCACCAAGAACACAGAGCATCCCTTGCCCCAGACCGAGAGTTCCTATCTATACCTTGTGGCTAAGAGCCACTGATGGACCTCTGCTCCAGATGTTTATCCAATTCCCTCCAATAAGAAGATTATTCTATCAGTGCTATGCTACCTTATCTGCTGTATGTTATGTTATAATTTTGATTTTCAATGGAATTGTTATTTACAAACTGGAGGGCATAATGAAGGGCGGATCAGAGGAGCAGGGAGCGTGGCGAAAGTGTTGTGTGGCTGGTAAAGGTGAGCTGATTAGCAAGCAGCTCTCCAGGCGACATCGACTTTCCCGTCTCCTTCAGCAGATGCTGACACAGCAGCAGTCCAGCAGCCTGGAAAAGAGGGAGCAGGCGGGCGTTCAAAACATGGGGCTCATGTGAACACACATGATAGCTGCCTTCTAGAAGACGAAGAAGAAGAGACTGGATTTATTCCTTGCCCTTCACTCAGAGTCTCAGGGTGATTTACAATCTCCTTTCCCTTCCCCTCCCCATAACAGACACCCTATTGAGGTATGTGGGGCTGAGAGAGCGCTTTCGAGCACTGCTCTAGAGAGAACAGCTCTGAAACAACTTGTGACCATTGTTCCCTCTAAGTTGAATTAGTGTGAGCTAGCTCATGATTTTTTAGCCTCCGGCTCACACATTTTTGCCTTAGCTCAGGAAGGATGGCTCCAGAGCAAACTAATTCATGCAGTAGCCAAATTCAGCCTTGTCTACTCAGATTGGTAGCCGCTCTCCAGGATCTCAGGCAGAGGTCTTTCAAATCACTTCTTCATAGGGTTGCCAGGTCCCTACCTCTTGGTGGCGGGAGGCTCTTGGCTCTTTGGTGTAGTGGTTAAGCTGTAGTTCTGCTAAGAGCTGTCCTTATAAATCCAATCTCCTCTTCTTCTTCAAGTACGCATGCCACGATGACGTCGCCCAGAAGTGACATCATTGCGCCAGGCACATCATGGAGGGGACACTCTAGCATTTGGCAAAAAAACCTCTATGGTCACCATAGAGTTTTTGAACGAATGCTAGAGTGTCCCCCCCATGCAACATGCCTGGCATAATGATGTCACCTCTGGGTGACGTCATCGGGCCAGGCACATCGGGCGCCATGGAGCTCTTCGGGGGCAGGGCTCCCGTGCTGGCCAACTGGCTGGCAGGAGGATCCGGGGGCCCAAATTCAGGGGGAAACCCCACCTCCATCGGGGGAATGGCAACCCTACTTCTTCACCCAAAGAGTCACCAACACGGGGAATTCACTGCCGCAGGAAGTGGCGGTGGCTACAAACATAGTTTCAAGAGGGGACTGGATCAACATGTGGCACTGAAGTCCATCAGTGGGTATTAGCCTCAAGGTACCCGAGTGTGTCGCATGACGGGGTGAGCTCCCATCTCTGGTTCCAGCTCCTGCCAACCTAGCAGTTCGAAAGCAAGCAATTGCACGTAGATAAATAGGTCCCACCTTCGGTAGGAAGGTCACAGCGTTTTTTGCACCTCAGCGTCTAGTCATGCCGGCCACATGACCACGGAAACGCCTTCAGACAGCACTGGCTCTTCGGCTTGGAAATGGAGATGAGCACCGCATCCCTACATCGGATTTGACTGGCTTTCGAGCAAGGGAAATCTTTACCTATAGAGGGAGAACTCTTCTGTGGGGCAGTGATGCTCTGTCCTCTTGTTGCTTGGGGGGCAAGAGTGGGAGGGCTTCTGGAGTTCTGGCCCCGCTGCTGGACCTCCTGATGGCACCATAGTTCTGACCACTATGTCACACAGAGTGTTGGACTGAATGGGCCACTGGCCTGATCCAACATGGCTTCTCTTACACTCTTATCACCTCCTACCTGATTCTTTTAACTGGAGATGCCGGGGACCGAACCTGGGAACATAAGAACATAAGAGACGCCAATGTTGGATCAGGCCAAAGCCCCATCCAGTCCAACACTCTGTGTCACACAGTGGCCAGAAATACCAGGTGCCATCAGGAGGTCCAGCAGTGGGGCCAGGACACTAGGAGCCCTCCCACTGTTGACCCCCCCCCCCAAGCACCA